ATCTTCTCAGGATTCTTAAGTTGTATGTATCATAAAAATGGTCAGGAGGTGATGGTGAGAGGAAACATCCATGAAAGTAGGAAGGGGGTCCCAAACAAGAAGACTTACAGTCAGTGAGTGGCCAGCTAGATGTACTATGTGATATAATATGTCCCACCAAATACCAGGGAATGGAAGTGGCACAGCCACTCTGTAGCAAAACATGAAAGGCTTCTATGTGAACTTGAATTTTGGTGAGTAACAGGGTTTTAATGGAAAACAGGGCTATGACTGGCCTTGATGTTTTAAGTACACTGAATTGGACCCTTGGACACAGGGAGAGATTTGTAATTATTTCGGGTCAGAGAACACATAAACCTTTGCTTTTATGTTTCATCTTCCACTGAATGTGGCTGTACAAAATAACACACATTCAGAAAAATATTTGCAGTTCTTGGTTTGCCATGTGCAATCTGTTTTTGCATGCAATCTTTTCTCCTTGAAGCAGATTCCTTAAGCGTATGTAGGCAGGAAAAGGTAATCCAGGTGTGAGTTAATAAAATAATGGAGGACAAGAGTGTTGGCTTTTTCAAATGGGTGAGCTAAAATAAAATGTATGGTCATAGCTATTGGAAAATAATAAAGCTGGAAAAAAAACTTGCAAACACCTTCCTATTTCCTATATTTTCATTTACATTGATTCTACTATATATTTCAATGATTATAGTTGACATTTTGAAAATAAAAACTCTGAAAACTGTCAAAGTCAAAACACTTTTATTTATGCTGAAGTTTATCAAGTATATTTTTAACAAAAGTGTACTCTAACTTAATATATGGCATAGTAGATAAATGATACATATGTTTCCAGTCTCTAACACGCTAATATAGGTTTTTTTTTCCATTAAAAGACAAAACGCCAAGTTGAAATAACCATAGAAAAGCATCAAATACAATCAAGTCACTTTAGCCATTAGGATTTAGCTCATATTCTTAAACTGGTTAACCTAATGTGAGGACAAAATTTATATCATTGCTTTTTAAATGTACACAAATTCCTTTTCCTTTAACATAGCATAGATTCATTAGCTGCTTCAGTAAACTAAGTTTTGCTGATAAACACAATTGAAACAACTCCGTGCTGAATAGTTTCAGAGATAAACTGGAATCACAAGCATCTTCATTTATGTAAAGCCAGTGAAGACCTTTCAAGCCGAGTAAAACTATTCTGTCTTTGCTAAACAGTAATAGTTACCTCCATTAAGAAAAAGAAAACAAGTTAGTTCTTGCATGGGATAATTCTGATACATGCTTGAAAATACTGAAATTTCTATCTTCATGAACTTAAATGATCTGTGTAACAATTTGATGGAGTATTGGTAAAATTAAGCTTTACATTTTTATGTTAAATATGCCTGTTTTTAAAATATCTTTCAATTTTCATGGTACAATATTGTACTTCTTTCAATATCATCAAAGGTTTTGAAGATTGACAAAGATTCTACTCATTAAGGATATTATAAGGTCTATAGTGCTCTATATCATTTTCTCCTTCTGTACATAATTTGAAGTCATTTTTGTTTACCTAAACAGGGAGAAATGATTTATCTAGTTTTGATTAATGACAGCTTTGTACGTTTAGAAAATCTCTACGTAGGTTAACTTTAATATTTTGTATACTGCAGAAAGGGAGACTAGTTCTGAATATCATTTAACTATGGTGCTGGATCAAACCAGAATTCATTCAAATGTTGGCAATCCAAATAATCCATAACATTTTGGAGTTAGATATCATTTGATTAGTATGGGTAAAATTTAGCATTGAAACTTTCGTAAAAATATATTCTACATTTTTTGTCTAACATTGCTCTTTTACATAACAATGGCTTATGCCTCAAGACTGTATACAGCTAGGTACATCTCAAAATCTCAAAATTAGCCTTTGGATATAAAAGAAATAAAGAAAGTGTAGATTAATTAGTACAAATCCATCAGCTGTGCTTAAGGAATATTTAAAGTTACATGTTTGTGAGTCAAATATATCATCTTCACATATAAAGGAGAATAAAATATTGCTGGACTGCTGTGCCTAGGGTAAAATATTCTCTTTCTAGCCAAACTTAAATATTGTAAGGGAAGAAAGTACACCCTTTATAACTTGTATAAGACATCTTTTAAATATTTGTTTTTCTGTGCAGAAGGAGTCATGGTCACTCATTGGAATTTGTGCATAATATCACAGAATCTAAAATAATAGAAAAATAAAAGTTTGGATTTGTATTAATCAGACCAGCAGGAGGGTTAAACACCATTACAGGGCCACCAGACATTTTTCAGAAAAATATATGTAGTTTATCTCACTGTTTCCAGGGTCAGAAGAAAATGAAAGCTTGTATTTTGGGGAACTGTCTTGTAACCAGTTACCACCACCCACCCCCGGCCAAATTGCTCAAATTTCTTTGTGAGTAGACTCTGAGAATATTTCCTCTGACGAAATTGAACATTTACTTTTTCAGTTCTCCATTCTACCTCAACTCCATAAAAACAGTCTCAATGTCAAAGGAAAGTTCTTCAGCATCAAATGGCAGTCATTTTTCAAGACTGAAATTCATACAATACAGTAAAGCTTACGTCATGCAGTACAAATTATGAACATTACAAAATTGAAGGCAATGGTGAAACAAATAATATTCTCTAAATAGGTAAATAAACATGGCAATGAATGGCAAAAGACAATCTGAAAAATATCCTTTCTTAGATTTAATGCTAGTCTTTATTGAAAGAGATAAACATAACTGCCCACACCCTTCAATAAATATGTCCTCTTAAAATCACTAACCAGAACAATTTTGACTACAAATTGAAAACCAAAAGAAAAACTCAGCTAGCAAAAAGACAATATAAATCAATCTTTTAGCCAGGTAAAGTAAATTGAGATTTTTATAGTAATAGAAAATTTCTCCCACTTTTGTAGATGGTAGAAAAACAAACCTTCTTGTAGTATGCTGTATAATGCTGACATACATTCATTTACTGTTTTACACGTACCAGTACTGAACTGTCATAAAGAAGGAACCAGTATTGATCTGGTAACCAACTATGATTCTTGGAACAATCTCAAAGTTTGCCACATTTCAATTTCAAAATGCATTTCAGCTATAATATGAGTGATTTATCATTTAGCAGTAGCTGTCAAAGTAAATTCCTAGATAAAACAAAAACATCTGGAATCATAAACAGAGGAGAGCATTAGCTGAATTTTAATCCAAATTCTGCATTGCTCACTTCATTAGAACAAAACCAGCTAATTACTAATTGAATGCTTCATATTTTTAAGAGGGTTTGCACTTGAGCTCCAAACAGAGATGATTTCATATACACTCTGGATGTAAACATGCTTAAACATCAAAAGTGCAATGAACAAAGCCTCTTAAGAGGAATGTGAGAAGTTTGAAAAGTTACAGTGAGGAATACACAGTGGCATTTGGGGAAAGCAAGCAGAGTTTATTACTGTAAGGTTTATGAAATAGGTAAAAGGTGAATTTGACATATAGAAATGTTACCATTCTTAAGTAAACAGTACAGGCCTTGCAGCTTTTCCCTTAACGGCACTGCCTGACCTTTGCAAACCCTGTGGCACTGAAGGATGGTGTGGCCTTCTTCACAAAGCAGACACTCTATTCATCAGTGTAGCTATCTTTCAAGGGCTACAACTGGATGTTAAACACTTGATAGTGTGAGACTTGCCTACTTTATCATCTCTCTAAAGCTTATGTAAAGTACTAGAAAAATCGAGTTTTATAAAGAAGATATATTTCTAGGGAAAGATAAGAGAAAAACATACAAGCTTGCTTTACATTAGAGAAAAGTAAGCTAATATGTATTTGTAAAGAGACTCTAGTGTATTCTAAGTGACTTAATTTGAAAATGCTGTTCAATTTCCCCTATGATTTAATATATGCTGTTCAACTATACAATGATAACACAGTTTTGACATTATATTTTTAGTCATATCTCATGTTATTCTGTTCAGAAAATTAACAATAATAAATTTATCATTTTATTTGCTTCAGTGCTTCATAACTTATTTTTAATTTGGCATTATTTTTCTGAATTGGTCCAAAGTATCACACTTCCTCTACATAAGCAGACCTTCCAAAGTCCATGGAAAGTACCAGAAGACAAATGCCTGTGCATTACTTAGAAAAAAAATTTATTCTGAGAATGAAATGGCTAAAACATCACATTCATATGAATTATTGTCATATTTTAAAGTGTACAAGGTATGTGGCTATTCTAACAGAAATTATATATACTACCTCAGGGAACTTTTATTACCTTATAAGAGAACTGATAAAATTCTCAAGTGGCCTTTTGCATGAGTGGTGCTTTTGGCACAACAAAACAATTCTAGGACACATGTAAATATAATACAATAGATTGGATTTTGCTTAGTGTTAGGATAGCACAATAAAGGTGGCATTAATATTTTAAATCACTCAAATATTGCTTTATTACATTTTTGAAACAGGGCCTGGCTATGTAATTCAGGCTGGCCTTGAACTCACTATGTAGCCCAGGCTGGCCTCAAACTCATGAGGATCCTCCTGCCTCAGACTCAAGAGCACTGGGATTACAGGCATGCACCACCATAGCCGGCCTGCTTTATTACATTCTTAGAAGACATAAAATGATGACCAGGATCTGCTACCACTACCTAGCCGGGTCTCCACTAAGTAAATAGTAGAAATCACTTCAGGACATTTCTGGGCCATTCAAGCCAAATAATCTATTTGGTCCTAGTCACTTGAACATGTTAAGAATCTTGCCCTAAGGGGCTGGGGATTTAGCTCAGCGGCAAA